GCGAGTTTGTAGCGAGTTCATTTGTAAGTATCGACAAGTCTGCAAGTATTTGTTTTTATGAAGTTGGAAATCATTTATTCCGTATTTTGAACAAGAATTGTGTAATGTTATCACTCTGTTGAAATAAATTAACAAAATGTTCAGTCTCCTTGCTGGTTAGTCTGACACATGCAGAATCATTGCCGCTTTTTTCATTATACAAGGCAGAAAAATGTCTATTCCTATTTTTTTGTGCTCACTTCCCCTAAACCACCAGCACTTTCTTTAAAGCCAGCACTTTTCAAGACACTGTATTTTATGGACAGTTTAAACCGGAAAAGTTCAATACCTGAATTACAGAGCACAACCTGAACAATATGAATGCAGCCTGGACTGATCTGCCAAGTTCGAGGTCTGATTTGGCACAATGGGTCAGTACTTCACCTACCGGTCCTGCCGGTGAAAGCTTGTCTTGTTCACAGACTCTATTGAAATACATTGAATGAATTGCCAGTCAAGTCAGTGGCCAAGGTGAGATGGCTGTATTCCTCCAAACAAAGACAGGGAGAGGGGGTGGAGACAGATAAAGAAATGAAAAAGGCAAGAAAGACATAGACCTAGGGGAAAAGAGACTGACAAATTAGAGACTGCGAAAAAGAAAAAGCGACAGAAAATCTATAGACTCAGAGCTGAGATTGTGTGCGGCCCTTGTTGAGCGCGGCGTTATACATAAAGGATAGCAAAGCCTTTTTATCTCACTGAGTTGTGGCTATGAGGAAGGAGGCCTGAAGATTATGTTTGTTGCCAGAGAGCAGGAGCCTCCGTTCGCTTTCAACTACAAGCAGCCCTCAAAGTGGATTTGCTTCAAAATGTTGAAAAACCAACAGCGTGATTCATATCTAGGATATTGCAAAATAACTGTGACTGAATATCACTAACAAAAATTATATGGGAGTTGAACTAGAATCAGAGTGGGAGAACCATTTTTTTGCAAAACTGAAATATCTGAGTGGACAATTTATTACAATTTGCAAACCAATTCAACAAAAATTATTAAACCAAAGTCACCACTAAAGGTCTGTGTTTTATTTCAATTTATGGATATTGATGTTTGCCTATAATTCCAATGTCAAAATAACTTTTAAGTGTATTTGTGCTAAATCCAACATGGCAACATTGATTTATCTGTCCCCCCCCCCAAAATGCATCTCAGATAAGTATTGACTTCTGGTTTGAATGACTGCACAGTCACTGTTTTGCAATCAGGTAACACACACGGCTCACATGCAGAGATACAATTTCTGCATTCATGTCGCAGCTTCCAAGTGGTAAATTATTCATTACGTCCCTCGATGGTGGAAATGTCACAGGAATGTAGTGCCACAGACAGACAAACACTGTGTCTCAGATAGCCTATAGCCACTGTTTATGTCCACCCTTCTTACAGTACATGTACAGTACTCCTCTAGTGCTCTTGTTGTACAAAGATAAGTATATTCTCAACAGCTTGGGTTGGGACTGAAGATGTTTCTGAAAATTTGTTTCAGGGAAATAACCAAAATGGGTTTTGCACTGCTAGCTATGACAGCTTTGTTTTTCCAATTTTTTGAAAGATCAATTATATTTCTATTCTACTGGATCATCAATTATTATCTCACTGTAATTGTGCACTACGCTGAATTGCAAAGCTATAATTCTACCCCATTTACTCTATTCAATTAACTTGCACACCAACAACATAATTAACGTTCCATCAACATAAAACACCCACAAACCGTCTGCACAAGCTCCACTGAACCAGCCAATGGAGCGAGGCCATCGGTTGCCGTCCCGTTACCTATCACGCCATTGGATGATTTAGTCATCATCTCTGTGACAGCAGCTGGTGGGTGTGTGGACAGATATAGCAACAAGGACCACAACCATTGCCACAGAAAGTGAGTCACCGGTGGCATATGTGTATCTGTGGATGTGTGTGTGAAAAAGGTGTTGGTAAAAACACCATCTGATCTGTGATCGTTTTGCTGTTAAGTACCAACTTTATAATCTTCCACTCTGTCAGGTTCACAGCACTATGAAACACTTTTTTACAGTTTGCACGCGTTTCATCTTTCACACCATAATCACTGTTGCCAATTGCGAACCTTTTAAGTTTAATTTAAATTAATATGAATAAGAAGAAATCATTGTTATTTTGTATCATTGTTATTTTCAAGTCATTAGGAATTAAACAAGCCAATTTAAGCTTTTCAAAATAAGACTTTAAAGAAAAACAACATTTTGGGCTAATACCCTAATTCTCTTTTGCTTATTTTGTCAAGAATTACTGCAGACGCGAAGATTGATTGATACCACTCTCATAAAATAAAAATCATACTTCCTTTCTTCGGCCTAGCACCACATTCAGAATGACACCTGGTGGGTCTGTTTATACACATACATGATATCAGCTGTGAAGTGGACATATCTCCAGCCTGAATCATTGATCTCTGCACAGCTATGGTTACATCACCTATCTTGCCAATTAACCTGGCTAATGAAGCAGGAGAAAAAACTGCTCTTAAGAGTTACATAAGACATCAGTTCCACTACACAAGACACACTGACCAGTATTGTTTTCCTCTCTGTGATGTCAACTATTATGTGGAAGCCCACATAGCAAAAAACAATTACCTCCAGCAGGGGGGCGAGCAGAGATGCAGGCGGAGGAGGAAAAAAAGACTGCCTTTTAATTTGTGGTCAATTAGGTTGCTTTGGGTGGTGGGCCGTGTGGTTTCCTTTGGGCATCTACAACTAAAACCTGTGTAAAAAAATATCATCATAACATCTCAATATCTTCTTACATACTGTGGAGAGTTGTTATTTTTTTTGTGAAGACATGGATTTCTGTTTACATGACTGCAACTGCACAGAGTTAAACTGTGCATGGCCAAACTGTAACATACAGTAGTGTTAGACCTCCAGCTCAGCTAGTGGTGGTATCAGCTGGCTTAGCTATTACAACAGTTAACAGAGCAAAACATGTTGTTGACTATGGCATAGCATTAGTTCCACCGCATTAGACACAATGACTATCACTGTGACAGCATCTCATTCACAAGCACACACACACACACTCAGAAACCCTCCCTCTTTTTCACCTACGGAACTGTACAGCATCCTCGTTTACGGCACAATGGCGTGTTTCTTGTATGTACAGCCCATGTGGCAATCTCATTTACATCGTACTGTAGACGCGTTAACTCACACACTGGTTGTTCCGTTTTTGTGGAAAAATATGCACAGAAATGTCCCATTTCACAGCACAATAGACCCTTTGCAAGCACACCCTCGCACAACAAGGGTCATACACGTTAATATCCTACGGTAAATTATGTGATTTTCATATATCATGCTCTTTTGTACTGAACAGACACATGTGCATGAACACACACACACACACACAGGGTGTCGCGTCTGTAACAGTGTCCTATTCAACATGACAATAAGTCCTCAGTTTGTGCATACTTTACTGTATATGACTCCATGAGCCGGGAACGCACTTCTGCTCATGTGTATGCATGAACACACGCCTATACAATGTCCCTCTATATCACACTGTGTCTTCGGCTTCTCCACGCACATAGAAGAATCTGTAGTTTAAAGAAATGCAGGATTTATTTTGTGGTGAGTGGTACCACTTTGCCTAAACCTCCCTGCTCTGCTTCTACTTGAGGTACTGATTTCCTTCATTTCCCAGGGCAGGCTCCAGAGACTTATTTCTCCAACTGTAGCTGTTATTCTTGCTGATACTATGTACAGTAATAATGCTGCTTTGGTCACATGTAGTCGGGTTGAGGAGCAGAATAATGACAGCAGTGAAAACAAGCAACCGCCATTTGACATCTGGTAAAAAATGAAAAGTCATGCACCTCACTCAGAATGCTTTCTGAAAGCTTTGTGTTTTATATTAAAGGACCAGTGTGTAGGATTTAGTGGCATCTAGTGGTGTAATTTGCAGATTGCAACCATTTGAAGACCACCAAAGGCCCCTATCTAGAGCCAGTGTTTGGTTTGTCTCATCTAGGCTACTGTAGAAACATGGTGGTTCAAGATGGCGGCCACTGTGGAGGGACCCACTCTCCTATAGTTCAGAATTGTTCATTCTAAGGTCACAACAACACAACAATTCCTAAATTCAGGTGATTATACACTAATGAAAACATACCTATGAATATTATATTCCACTTCTGCCAATAGATCCTCCTAAATGTTACACACTGGACCTTTAATGCTGCCCTGGAAATGACTTGACCTGACAGAAGATCACCTACATTTGGCCAGTTTTGTTTTGAAAAGGACCCAACAACTTGCTTAATTACGCCAATAAACTCATGAAATCACTGGTGTTCCTCCTCGCACACCCTCACATGTATGCACACAACACGCAGGCTACAGACCCATCCCTCTCTCCCTATTGTCTTGGCTGGCACCAGTTTCCACTGACACAGATGGTGATGGGAGAATGAGATACAAAGAGAGATAGACACAGAGGGAATGGCAGCAGCTGATTACATGAGTTTATATCATGTATTTTCCTCCTTCCCTCCATCCATACATTTTTTTGCCCCCACAAATCACCCAAACATATATCCATCTGCCATCCAGCCATCCATCCCTCCTTTACCTCGACTGCCTCAATTTATCACCCCCAGCCTCCGTCTATCCATCAGCGCTCTATACGGACTCTTAGCACTGTCTTAAAGCTCCCACCAGCAGCCATACATCCAGTCAATCCATCTATTCGTCAATCTGTCCCTCAAACTAGATCCTACTTTGTATCATGACCTTTTACACACCTATTAACTTCTGAAATGTGACCTTTCAGTCATCCATCTTTTCCCCTCCATCCATCCACCCATACCCTGCGCCTTGTCTAGTCACCGAGGTGAAGAGGTGTCTTTTCTGATTTCCCCATCATGACTTGTTTTTGTTGAACTCTTACAAAATTAAAAACTATCAATAGTAATCTTAACACTTACCAGCTGCATGCCACAGATGAAGGCCAAGGTGCACCTGCCACTACAGCACCCCATGGTGTCTTCCTCCCCTCTCTCCAGTGATCCACGTGGACAAGAAACTCTGGGTAAAACTCCCAAATCTCCAGCTGGACCTTCAAACTCCAAATCCTCCCCCCCTCGCACTCCTCCCCCCTTGAGGGCCGTCTGGCTGGCTGGCAGCCCAGGTAGCGGTGCTCCCTGCTCGGCCTCGCAGAACAGAGCGCAGCCCCCCCTCGCAGGAGCTTGGGGGAATAAAAGGCTACTACTTCATTCAAATGGATGGGGTTGCTGACAGCTGAACAGCCAGGGAAGTGTGGCCCCTTGGATTTCCAGCACACACAGGGGGTCAGGGATCAAAGATGTTAAGGTGGGCCTCGCTGGATGATTCAAGTCCACAAAATTGTTCTCGAGGGCTTGTTCACAGAGCTCGGTCCTGTAGATAAAACTCCTTCCCAAGACTCTGCAACTGAAAGCGGCTTTAGCAAGTCTGAGGAATCAGGAGGTGTGGTGCATTTTGATTGATTGGTCACAGAATGAATTCAGATATTCTGATCATGTGGGATCTCTTGACACAAATTAACCAGGCTCTCCAGTTACGTCCACACGGGGGTCCTGATTGTGTCCAGTCCTCACCTGCTGGACTATAAAGTCCGGTCAACCACGTCCATTGATCGCATCCTTATCAACGGTGAACACACTGAATGAACTCGGTACAGGAAGCCACTTACACACACTCAAAGACTATAAGAGCAAAGGGAGGGATGAGGAGATTAAGATGGATGTTTTCCAACCCGGATTAAATGCTCCTTTTTTTTTGTTGCTGTTTAATAATCCCGAGTAAACGCTAACTAAATTTGTTTTTTTTTTAAGGGTGGAGAAAACAAGTGCAAGTGGTCCCTGCCTCCTTTTTTTTCATAGACGAGCTCCTCTCTCTCTCTCTCTCCTCCTCCTCTCAGGGGAAGTACCGGGCATGTAGCGGCAACATCCTTCAAGGTTCATTCACACCAAAAAACAAAGAATTTTACCTCCAAAAAAAAAACCCCGAGGTTGTTAAATCCAGCTGCTCTGCCTGAATTTGGGTGTTTTTTTTTTTTTATCCACTCGGAAAAAAAAACACGGCGAGTACAGAAATTGTTGCTAGGATGTTGTGATATGTCAACAGCCACTGGAAGCTGGTTTCGGTGTCTCCGTTGGCTAATAAGAAGAAGTCCTCCTCCTCCGGTTCATCTCTTCCCCAACCGACAGTCAGCTCCACAACACAACCGCCGGTTTGTCAGCCGTTGCTCGGTTCATTCACCGCCTCTTCTCTGTGTAACGTTTTTTGTTTTTTTTTTAAATTTAAATTAAAACACAGACACACACACACACACAAAAAAAAAGCGTGTCCACGTTTCGGATGGAGAGGGACAAGGGTGAGATTTCAGGTCGAGGTAAAAGTCTCCAGACGTACAGAAGGCGATGCGAGCGGAAATAAGGGCTAAGTTTAGTTAGTCGTCTCCGGGTTGTCTTCAAGGAGTGGAGAGAGGGGAGACAATGGGAACCGGGATGGACCAACGGACCGAGAGAGACAGCCGAGAGGAGCGTCTCGCGCCTGCCATCTGTCAAGTCAAACACCGCGCAACAACGCGGCTGTTCCGGTTGCGAGTTTCAAAATAAAAGCGTGTACTTTTTTTTTTTTTTTTTTTTTTTTTTTAAAAGCATGGGAATGGTGCAAAGTCAAATCAGTGAGCGGCTTGTTAAGTGTAATTTTCTATACTACCGTTGGAGGTAGTCACATGGACATATGGTGGAGCTATTTGGACTGTGGAACTGAGAAACACAACTTTCTATTGATTTATTTGCCTGGATTGATTGTTGATTTAAATTAAATTGTGAACTGAATTGTTGTTATTGATATTATTAATTTATTTTGTATAAATCAGTCCACCTGTAAATCTATAAAAAACTGAATGATTGTATTGCGCTATTATGAGATTATGCTATGCTACACACACGTCAACGTTAACACACACACACACACACACACACACACACAACTATAACAACTTCACACACACTACCTCAATTTCTGACATACTGACACACACATATACACACCAACAACAAGAACATCAACACACACTTTTTTGTTTTCTGATATTTTCTTGATTTTATGAATTATAACTTTTGTTTTTTCTTTTTACTCTATAATTTCTTAATACTCACTTATGCCAGTAAAGGATATTGAATTGAACTGAAGTGATACTGTAGCCCATTTGATTAGTTTGCCAGCTCATGTGTGAGTGCTCACTTTAGTTGCTGATACTGTAACATACAGTATGTCTCCTAGCTATTTTTACTCCACCACCGTCTCTTTGCTTCAGCTGACCTTAGAGGTCTGCATGGGTTGCTTATAGCCAAGACCTCGTCTGGTACCCAAGTTGAGCCGGGTCCAATAAACTTTATTCAGTCTAATTCTGGGCAGGATCTCACTGTATTGCAGTGCGTCTGTGGTCTGTACGTGTCAGTGTGTCTGATAAGCCAAGCCTCAAAGGACATTTTCTCTGATCAGAATCATCAAAGTACAAAATTAATTAGTTTTTTTGATGCAAGATGGTGATTCTGAACTGTGAAGTCCTGGGAAAATCTTTGCGTGCCCTTTTCGACAGTCACTACTTGATCATTGGGTGAATCATGTTAGGGCCATGTTTTTTTCTATAACTGTTTGTTCAGGTCGATCCTATCTGGTATTTGGTCTGATTGTCTTCTGGTCCCTTTAGGATTGGGGTTTCTTTCTTGAAAACAAACTTGTGCAGCTCAGACTTGAGTCAGGTTTTCTTTTTTCTGGTTTAAAATTTTGCGTATTATTGCATAATATTTGTCTGCAAATGCAGCTCTAATCAAAAACTGCCCAAATCAGTCTGGTTCACATGCATTCGAGTTGTATACAGTTTTTATTTCTGCAATATTTGTTTATGTATGTAATGAATGGCAAAAAACATGAACTAAGTGGCTTTAGTGACAAAACAGATGTCGTTTAATGTATGCTGATGGTTGTAGGCATATTTATTTCCTTATTGTTTTTTGGGTCATATGATGCCTGATGATTGTTGCGAAGTATAAACCAAGCTCACTCTGTTTCTGTTATTATTATTAAGATATATTGTTAAATATTTTGTATTTTGTATATTTAGTGATAATTTAGGCTACCTTTTCAGCAGGCATCATGACTTCAACGACCTAATCATTTTTGTTATTTAAAGCAGACTTCAGAATAGTTCACCCTACACTCTTTTAGGCTTCTATTTTGAAGGCGGGAGGATCTTACTTCCGCCCCTGTTGTGGCTGGCTGTGGCTGACTTGATGAGGCTGATGTTCCGCTCGGCAGGGGAGCGGCGGGGCTCTTTTCACTCACTGAGACACACAAACATAGACTGAGAGAGATGTAGCTTTGGTCGGCATGCAGCTGCTCAAGAACATGGCCTTCAACCATTATTCTGAATGAGACTTCTCTCTCTCTCTCTCTCTCTCTCTCTCTCTCTCTCTCTCTCTCTCTCTCTCTCAGTGGGGAGTCCTGTCTCTGAGTTGTCAAGATAATCATTTTATTCTCATTTCTAATTCACTTAATTGAAGGCTGAAGGGTTTCCTGATAACCCCCTATTAAGGCTGAATATGTTAAGACAAAAAAGGACAGCGTCTAAAAATTTCATGTAACATATTAAAATTGCTCACAGCTATCCATCAATTATTGGAAAGAGCCTTGGGTTAACACTTCAGAGGGTGATTGCCTCATTTATGAATGACACTTAATTTAGCTCAGCAGCTCTGTGTTGTTCCCACAGTGGCTAGAGTTCAGTGAAGGCATCATGGCTGCAGAACAGCCTAATTAAGAAGCAAAAAAAATACCCCTGAAAACAAGCAGTTTCCCCCAGTTTAAGTTGGGGGGGAAACTGTGTGTGTGTTTGTGTATTACGGGGTCACTTGTGCCACGCCTATAAAATGGCCAGCAGTTTAAACAGACACAGGGGTGTAGAGGCTATCACTGCTTTAGCTATACAACACAATGGCCTGCTTTCCCCTCACCATCAATCTCTGTCACAGTCTACCCCTCCCACACACATCCAGGAAAACACAAGATACACACAAACAAATGCATATACGCACACGCACACGCACATACACACACACACACACATTCAAACCACACGCAGTGCGACAGGAGTTTAATTATGCCGCTAATCTTGAGTGACAGTGGCATGTATAATGGCTGATTCCCCGGGGCCATGTGTCAAAGCATCCAGCCATTCATCCATCCATCCCTTCTTCTATTTATCATCTTACCTACTTAGTCATCCATCCATCGCCCCATCCATCCGTCCATATTTCCACTCAACTTCTCCCTTTCTATCTTCAGCATCCGTCCACCTTTCTTTTTATATCATTTCCTCCTCCTCTTCTTTCTTTCTGTCACCCTTTTTTTTATGTAATTTCTGTCTCCTTTGTAATATTTGCTCAAACATTCAGTGTCCCTAATTTTTCTCTTTGTCACACATCATCTGCTCTTTCACAAAGGCTGCTGACAGGGCCAATTGGGCCCGTGCCCGGGGGCCTCTGACCACTGGGACCTTGGCTGTGGTTCACCTGAGGTTGAGGCCCCAGGTGGTCAGAGGTTTGTCAGCTCAGGAGCGAATATATCTCAAATCTCATCTGAATGTGAAAATCTGTAAGTGTGAATCTAATGGCACAGTACAAAGTTGGCAGTACTGAAACAATTGAAGTAATTTTGGTATTTTTATAAGTAATAATAGCAAAAATCCACTGATTCCAAACTCTAAAAATTTGAATATTTTCGTTTTTTTCTCAGGATTTTGTGATAATAAACGTAATGCCTTTGTGTTGTGGACTGTTGGTTAGACCAAAAAAGATATTTGAAGATAAAGACGTTTTATAATTGTTCAATCAAAAGAATTAAAAATCTTATTAATGAGTAAACAATATTATCAAAGTTTGTTATTATCCAAGCTTGTTTAATCAAAATGGTTTTACATTTTTAAATATGTTAAAGTTTTTTATCCTTTGTATTCTTTTTCTAATCCTTTTTCACATAAGCAACACCCAGAGCATGCCACATTGAATTCAGTATACATAAGTAAGGTAACAAATGAACCTTTGAATCCTTATGACTTGTTAAGTCACTTAACAGTTATTGTCGTAGATGGTCCATCAAGGCACAAACCCACAAATTAAAAGAAGGAAGAGCAAAAAAAAAAAAAAAACCAATCTCACCACTCAGTAGCCGTTCTAGAGCTTTCTGGTATTGCATGATCTTCTGCAGATGGATTTTCACAGAAATGTGGAAAAAGGTTCAGACATTTCTGAGACTAAAAAGCTTAAAAGTCAAGACAAGCGAATACACCTGGCATGAAGCAGTTGTTGCACTTTCTTACCCTATTTAAAAAACCATACTCCTTTGCCAATGTGCTGCTTTCCTGTCATGTCAGTAAAGCTTATTTGAATTTGATTTTGACGGAGACAGAAAGTGACAGATAGAGAGAGAGAGAGAGAGAGATAGGCTACACCTCATCCAGATAGTGAGATAGTATGTGTTTATTACTTTATCTGTCGGGACCAGATGTCACCAGATGCCTGCTGCTGCCAGCCTATCTCAGCCCACACACACACAACACACACACACACACACACACACACACACACACACACACAAAGGAAAACACACAGACCTTCTGCCACTCTGACACGCTATACCTCCTACACCTTGTCCTATCTGAAAACAATCTAACTGCAGACCCAGGTAGTTGAAAATAGCCGATATGTATGTGAAATATTGGTTACAGCGACTGAACTACTGACTCATATCTACTCTTTACACCAGGTAAAATTGAAGATGAAGAGAATTCAGACACGATTTGACACAGACAGAGTCAAAACAAGAGACACAAAGAGATGAAGGGAAAAGCAAAATGACAAAGAGAGAGAGCAGAAGAGGAAGGAGTGAGAGAGGTGAGGCTCCACAAGAGGATAATGCGCTGGTGAGAAAAAGGTAACCTCCATGTTCAGGGTTTTGATGTAAATATAGAAGACAAATACAGATCACGGCAACAAAAAGTACATACTGAGTTATGTTTAAGTGACTAAGGAGTTGTCTCTACACAGCTGCAGAAAAAAAGACCAGAATACAACACACTAGAATGGTTTTACATCAGTTAAACAGTGGTGAAGATGAAAAAAAAACAATCAGAAAACAACGATCATCAAAAATATGACTAAAATAGCAGCACTTTATTTTTACTAACTGATTGATTTTTTTCTGCCACTTGGGGGCAGTGGAAACAAGTTGTGAACACAACACTAACATACTACCTACCTTTGATATGGTGAGCTTGATAGCATATGGCTTATTTACACATCCAGCAGGCATGGAGCAACATTAACATCTTTAACAGTCGTTTTGGAGCCACCTGGGAGCTGTAGGTCCAATATTCATTCTCCTTTTACCTCTGTGATTTGGTCTCTTGAGGCCCCTCTACTTGCTAAATGCTTTACTAAACGCTAGGTCAGTTAACTAGCTGCTAACTATGTCTG